GTCTGAGGGTCGAAAACTCGCTTGGGCGGCGCCCTGTCTCTATCTCTGTTCCTCCAGTAGGAATCCCTGAAACTCTCTCTCCAGTCCTCTCCGTGTCTGTCTGTTGTGGTGTCTCTCCGCTCGTACTCGGGAGAGCGTCTCCTCGGCGCTTCTCGCCGCTCGCTCGAGATGCCTGTCTTTAGAGCTCCCCGCGACTCTGTCTCAACCGGTTTGTCCCTCTTGTCGGACCCTTCGTCATTGGTATGGTCGGCCCATCTCAGTGGCTGAGGAAGTGAAGGGGATACGGGATATGGTGAAGGGATTGACGAGGCAGGTTACAGAGATTGTATCCACTACGGGGGTCACGGCATACCGGGACAAACCTGGAGGGCCCTATTCGCTTCGCTGGGACCGCCGGAACAGCGATCCCTGGAGGAGCGTTGAGGACAGAAATCCTCGGACGCTGACTGATTATCGGATGCGAGAGAACGAGAGAGATGAGGAACAGTGGCGACGTAGGGACGACGAGATAGACCGAGACCGCAGAGATYACGATGCGTTCGTACGAGCGAAGAGGCTGGACGATTACCCGCGGAGCTCCTGCTATGAGACTGACCGGGAGAGGGGCGACTCCCGCAGCCGATGGGAGATAGATCAGGTCCGACGAGACGGATATAGGGGAGGTAGATACGAGAGATCGGGCCAATATGGATATAGGGATGTCAGATACGAGAGGTCGACCCGAGATAGCTACCGAGGAGGTAGGTATGAGAGAGGAGATCGGAACTGGGAACGACGAGATGGGTCGCGCGGACGATTTGAGCGCGGGGAAGACGTGAGAGGACAGCGCGACGAGTCGCGAGGATGGTACAACCGAGGAGACCGACGCGATGAGTCACGAGGACACTATGACTCGAGAGACCGCCGGAATGACTCGCGAGGGCAGTATGAGCAAGGAGGGTCTGGAGGAGACGGGCGCAACGATTCGCGCAGTCGGAATGAGAAAGGGGGATATGGTGTCTCATCAGAACCATATCCAAAGTCGCCTGACCCCAACACGGCCAGGAAATCGATGTCTAGGGGGGCGGACGACAGGGCGTCTACTCCCAGGAACTCATGTGTCTACTATAGAGGAGAGAACCATATCAAGAGGGATTGCCCGGACCTCAGACGGGCAATAGATGAGGGGCTTGTCGTGCTTGACGACCGCAAGTACGTCAAGTGGGCAGATACTTTGGGAGATGTATCGATGTTCCCTTCGATGAAGGAGAATGTCGAAGCAAGGAGAGTGAAACCGAGTAACGGAATGGAGCCGGTCAGGAGCCAGAGCATCAAGATAACTTTTGAAGGGGACATGGCGACCACACCCATAAG